TTGGATATAAGATATAATATGAACTTGAAAAAAAGCTGAATATTATTATTTGGATTTACAGGCTATCCATCCGCATCAGAAGTAGTTGTTGTAGGCCAGTTGCATATATCATTCCAAAATTCGGCATGCTTATCAGGAATATATTGCATGACCTTTTTAATATCCTTAATCTTGTTAATGTTTTGGAGCATAGTAGGTGGTTGAGACGAGCTTCCAACCACAAAAGTATGGGACGTCAAACCATCTATATAATCATACACTTTGATACTACCAGTATATTATGAAGAAAATATTATCTGGTTGAATTTTGATACCGTGAACTGGGTTTTTTGGGCCTTCGGTATCTTCAGTTTTGCCGATTCCATAGATACTGTGTTTTTCTTATACCATATAGGCCACCAACTTTTGTAATCCTGAATTTCCCGGCTTGGCCTGGATATTATTCTAACAGAGTATTTAAAACTGTTACTTGCTTTTGGAACCAAGGTATAGTACTCATCAGGAACATACATTCTATCATGTTTTTTCAATATCCGTTTTATTCACTACCCGTTCATTCCGAAAACCACACAGAATCTCGATGGTAACGACAGGACTCATGTGGTTTTCGCTCAGACTGATGCGTTTTGAGGTATAAATCATCATGGCGCCGAAATTCAGATTTAGCCCAGATATAGACTTTTCGAAATGACCGATTCAATAGCAGAGATCATCATTGCCGTTGATGCATGTTTTTGTTATTAGTTACCTACACTGTTGGGATATTAAACAGAGACATTATAGGTTTTATTGATTTTTTCAACATACCTTTCGATATTTTCCCGATCGAATGACAGACAAGGTGCAAACACGCATAAAATAAGGTGATAATTTTTGTACTAATTATCTTCACTAGTATAACCTATTTACATAAATTTGCTCAGGCGCATGCCGTTGACCTTTTATTTGAAGTTGAGTTACATCACTTGTAATATTTTACAAGTCTAAGTTAATTGATTTTTCGTGAATTGCGCTTATTGTTTACCATTTACATATATCTGAAAACAATTAGGCAGGTATTTGCGAACGCTAAATGGCTTCTGTCGCTTGTCGCTCTTCCCGAAAAATAACCTGAATCTTGCTTAGTTTATTGAACTCTCACGGGAGTCGCAGGACCGGACCTGACGAGATGACGAGAACTCCCGCATAGTTTAATTACGAAATTCTGTGATCTGTGATAACGCCCGAATCATCATAAAATTCTGAGATCATTAAAAACCAGGAAATACCTAGTTAATTCTGGCTGGTTGAATCTCATCATTATTGAAAATTACTTAGGTAGGTATGTGGAATTCACCTTTTTTTTTCTAAATATGCCCCAAATAACATGATGCATCAAATCCCAGATATTGAACTACGTTTTGTCAGACTGGTTTTCGCAAGGATCATGTCTCTCAAGAGATAATAATATAAAAAGTATTATATGTGCCCGGAAAAAAAATTCTTGATGGGATATTTTTATTTTCCATATCTTCAAAATATCATCAAAATATCAACGAGCACAGAATGATAGTGATTTCCTACGAGAATGACGTTTGCAACATAAGCCATAAAGAACAAACAAGAGCAATCTTGTGTTATAGGTATAGCCGTAGAAAATAATATATTGTTTAACGAGCATGGAATGATAGTGGTTTCCTACGAGAATCATTCGAGTAGGAAATTAGCATTCCGTGCAAGTTATGCACTATAATTTTTCCACGGCTATATAAAAGATAACAGCGGCATTTTCGATTTCTTCGTCTTGTAGCCATCTGATTTCCTGTCAAGTAATGCTCATCTAGACAGAGCTGTCATTGCTTGAAATTTGACATTCCATGGGTGATGCGTTTTTTTTTTTAAAGTAATAACACAATGGTGTGATATCAGATACGGAAATGAAATTGATGACATACAAAAGTACCTCGTTGATATATCGAACACAGTAAAACAAGAGCTATCTTATTGTGTTAAAGCCGTAGTAAAATATTTTTTGCTAGCACTAGCTATAAAAACTACCATTATTTACTCATTTTCAAGGCGTAAAGTGCGCGTTTTTCCTATCAAGGTAGTTTTCGTCATTTTATGCCCTACAGTCAATAAAGACATAGCCACCTCTCTGTTATAATTAACCCGAATTCACTGTTGTGATGCGAGATTTGCAGGAATGGCACTCGAATCTAGTAGGTATTCATCTACTTGTCATAATATTTGCCCACATGGTCATGGCTACTAGCTTTTGATCAGAATCCGTTTCACAGAACTATATAATGACTGAAATATATTGCTAGTACTGAAAAAAACTTAATCGACATACCTTGGTGTATAAATAACTATCCAATACATTGAAATACATTTTCTCTTCTTTAAAATTTACTCTGGAAAAATGTTGAAAAGGAATATTCTCAGATAAATTATGAACATACAAAAATGGATATATATTTATATAAAGCAATACATTGAGAACTCGCATTCTCTATGTGATGAGAATATTTACTCTTTTTCAGTCAATTCAATAGAAAACAACTACTTTCCTGGCTATATGCCACGACGAACATTGAATTATATCTATTGAACACACACGATAAGAGTTTGAAAATAAAATATAAAAATTTCTGAAATTGAGAATTTGCATTCTCCTTCAGACAAAAATATGTATATACACACATCATTCTGAATATTCAACAGAAAACAACTACTTTCCTGGCTATTTGCCACGTCGAACATTGAATTATATCTGATGAACATTCAAAAGGGGAACATGAAAAATAAAGAATAAAATCCTCCGAAATTGAGAATTGACATTCTTCTTCAAATCGATTCTTAAGAAAGTGTCTTTAAGTTACAGTGTTACATTGTTTTAAATGCGTTATGCGTTACATAAATAATTTGCAATGGATGTTTTCTGCAATACGTCTCTGCTCAGAAAATCACTCCTCATGACTAAATACAATGCCGTTTGGTATGCGTACCTATAATAATAGTACGAATACTTTATGTATTTCACTACCTGTTGCGAGTATGAATAACCAAGACAGATTTCGAGAAGTCATTGTATTCTAGCGAATTGCAAATACAGGGTGATCCACCGGAACATTTGTACTCATTGATGAAGAATATGAAAAATGCAACACCAATTTGATTTCGTGACCATATCACAGGTACCACGAAAATAATTCTATTTTCTTGGAAATTATACTCAGGTCTCGACTCAGGTCTCTTCCTATATTGATAGCCCGAGTGATAGTCCCGAGGATCGCCCTAATGAATTCAATTCCATCTCCCGCCGAATGAGTTTCAATGCCGGGACAGAAAATTGCTTCATTGTATCTGAGGTTATTTTTTCTTGGTATTTTGCGCAATTCAATGAAATAATTGAGTGTTTTTGATCCAATTCTAATTCATTCCTGCAATTTATTCTGATTCAAACATGTCACATTTTCTATTCAAGGTTATTTTTAGGCAATCATTTCATTAATCTCGTTTTATTTCTACCCGTTCTGAGAACGTTCCTATGCCGGTTTAACCGAAAACAACATTGAATAGGTAAATGTGTTATGTGTGCGTACATGGTGGACCAAACTTGTGTGGTTTTCTTCGAGATTACGGAGATTTTGACCCCACCCAGTATAATCACTGAATCCCAGTTTGGTGACATGGTCGAATAATATCATAATATGTATTGTTGGTGAAAAAATATACAGGGTAGGTAATTTATTTCGAAAATAAAGGATCCGCCCCAATGAATAACACTTCCCCAAGAAATTAACACACCACCAAGAAGTAGCCAACAGTTTAAGATACATATTTTAGTCAAAACTATACTTGTCCGATTTAGACGTTTTTTGTTTTGAATGACAGGTTATCTCTCGGGTTATCTCCTTCTGAACATTGGTGTATAAACTGTATTCGCATAAAAACTTTTTTTTATGCATACCGGGTGCAGCAATTATATTTTATTTCCTGAAATTTGTAATATACCCTGTAAAGTGTAATAGTTACACGTTTCAACACTATCAAGTTAGAATTGAAATTACACTTTAGCCCCATCTTTCTTCAACATTATTCTTGAACATTTCTTTTTTGGATTCACCTCATTATCTTTCCTATCACTGTAGAAACACCATTTAATAGCGTAACATGATTTTATGGAAAATCAATATCCAAATTTAATAACGAAAAAATGGAACAGAATGCGAAGTCACAAGTTGAACGAAAGGGTCAGTAGCAGTTTGTCCGCCTCGGGAAAGAATAAATTCTTGGCAAAGACGACCTATACCTACTTTAAATAAGAGACCTCATGTCATGTGTTCCCAAATTTGGGTCAGTCTCTGCCGTGAGTCTTCCAAAGTATTCAAGTCACGTTTCTTTTGGTCCAAGAATGTCCCAAAGATTTTCAATGGGATATAAATCCGGGCTCCGAGCTGGCCATGCCATGGTAACGATAACAACTTCCACTAGATAATTTCACACCAACTCGGACAACGTCAGATGCCTGGCATATCTTGCCTCAACAAAAATCCTAACACTATTATTATTTCCAATATGGACCTTTCATGTGTAAGGCTTCCATTTATGATCACAAGTTCCATACGACTAGAGAGAAATGCCTTCCCAGACCATAGCCTGCTACTTACGTGCTTATAATGCTATTTGAATTCAATAAAATCATGTAATGCTATAAATTTGTGTTTTGGGAGTAATAGGAAAGATGAATGAGCAAATTCAAATAAGGAATGTTGAAAAAAGATAAGGCTAAAGTGTTATTTCAATTCTAACTTGATAATGTAACTTTCACAGGGAAAAAAACGTCCAAATTAGACAAGTAGTTTTGACGAAAACGTATCTGAAACTTTTGGATAGTTATTGGTGGTGCGTTGATTTTTTGGGGGAGTGTATTGCGCAAATATAGCAATTTAAATTGGCCCTAGTCCTATTTTTTTGATGAGGTCATATTCTGAAACTGATGTTTTTGGTTCCAGATGATCTGTAATGCCTATCACTGCCTAACTTAGCTTAAGACATTCCTGAGTCCTTTCTACACAAGCATCACGTCGCTAAACGACACATCACAACGAAAGTCTGATATATATACATAGAAACTAAGCAGAAATATGACAAAGGACGAAGAGCATTTTGAAAACCACAAGATGTTGGAGATATCCGATAAATCCAGCAACAACAACGAACTGCCAGAAGAACAAACCAACCTGACGCAAGACCTAGACGTAGCGTTCCATCAAAGAATAGAGTGCAATGGTAGCCTAGTAGACGATGACAGTGACATGGAGTGCGGATTAGGACCATGCGCACCCAACTGGATGCAAAAATTCGCTTCCAAGCAGGCTTTCCTGCTCGTCTTTTGCATAGCCTGGGTGCTGCAAGGCATGTACCACACGTACTTCGTCAGTGCAATAACCACCATAGAAAAGCTATTCCAAATACAATCGAAGATCACCGGCATCATAATGAGTGCCACGGAAATCGGCCAAATCGGTTCCTCGCTCCTTCTCACTTACTACGGGGGCCAAGGCCACAGACCCAAGTGGATAGCCTGGGGCATGGTTCTGTTCGCTGTGTCCTCCTTCACTTGCTCCTTACCCCATTTCATTTACGGCAAACAACTGATCAACGCTAACGACTTCACCGGTATAACTAAAGAGCCGAATGTGTGCAGGACTCCAGCAAACATCACCGTGTTGTTCCAGAGCGGTTCGGATTTTTCTCTTCCTGAAAATTTCACTGCCGGTATTTCTTACGATGCTCAGCAGTGTGAGGAGAGGAAGGCTACGGGTAACACTGTGCAGCCTAGTTCGACCAACATTGTGCTGTCCATATTTTTCGTCAGCTTATTGGGGGTCGGGATGGGCCAGACTGCTGTGTACACCTTGGGCATACCCTATATCGATGACAATGTAGCCAGTAAAGAATCTCCTCTGTATTTCGGTAAGTTCAATGCTTGCAGATCCAGACTTTGTACAGGAATAATAGGCAGGACTCTGTGCAGGGTGTCCGTTTTTCGAGCTCCACCATAGGGGTCTCAGTTATTATAAGAGATAAGAGGTCGCTTAAATTAGGACAAAGTTGCGCATTTTCAAGCTGAACATTTATCTGCAAGAAAATTTGATGAGTCATTTTTATTTTTTGAATTATTGGAAGAAAACGAAAATTTATAATTCTCGTTTTTATTTTTCAAGCGGAAACCAAAAGACCTAGACGTTTCTGACTGGGACATTCTTGAGGCACTTTTTACAAGAAATCTGTATCTGTCATTGTATTTTCTATGACGTTCTTGATGCCAAAGTTACAACACACAACTTTGTTTTTTTCTTATGGGCGCCATATTGGATTTTTGCATTTTTGAGTAGTATTATTTTTCTGATTACAATGCTGTATCACACGATATGATCGATTCTTTGTTGTTGATCAAAATTGGGAAAAAAACATTTTTGCGAAGAGTGCTTCGGAAAGAACGCCAAGAGTGTTGTAATTTTGGCATCAAGAACTTCATGGAAAATACGATGACAGATTCAACTCCCTTGTGAAGAAGTGCCTCAAGAATGTCCTAGTCAGAAACGTCTTGGTCTTGTGGTTTTCGCTTGAAAAAATGAAAACGAAAATTACAAATTTTCGTTTTTTTTTTTCAAATGATTCAGAAACTGAAAATGACACATCGAATTTTCTTGCAGATAATTGTTCAGCATGAAAATACGCAACTTTGCCCTAATTTAACCGACCTCGTATCTCTTATAATAACTGAGATCATCCCATGGTGGAGCTCGAAAATCGGGCACCCTGTATAGATTCCTTTGACGTGAGAGGTAGTGTTGATGTGGTGAATGTTTTTAGCCATTACCATTGGAGTAAGGATATTGGGACCAGCTTTGGGCTTCATAGTGGGCTCTTTGTGCACCAGTGTATACGCTGATCTGTCGGTGGATCCGAAAATCGATTCTACTGATCCCAGATGGGTGGGAGCATGGTGGCTTGGTATGTTGATTATATAAATGCCGACATTTTTGCTGATTGGAGTTCTTGTTAGGTTTGGTTCTGATATCCGGACTGCTGATGTTGGCGTCTTTAGCAATGTTCACGTTTCCTAAGAGGCTGCAAGGATCCAAGCAGGCTACCAGAGTACAAAATCCTGATAAAAAACATCCCAGCATCAAAGGTAAAAAATTGAGAGCGTTGGTGATGTCCAAGTTAGTTATATGGGTTTTCTAGATTTTCCAAAAACTGTGAAACGGCTGTTGAAAAATGATATTTTGATGTTCAGAACAGCTAGTAGCGTCTTACATATTCTTCCCATAGCTGGTTTGTATACATTCTTACCGAAATATCTGGAAACTCAGTTCAGGCTACCTACGCCTTCGGCTAACATGATATCAGGTCAGTACAATAACTTTATTGTTAAATCTATTGGTATATTTGTTTTATCCAGGGGCGGCGAGTGCATGGGGGCATCGGGGCCAATGCACCCATGTAGACCATAGGTATGGGTGCAATGCACCCATTGGCCGAAACGAAGATGTACCTCTGTTTATGTTGATATTAAAAACAGACCCGAAACCCGATTAGTCAAAAAACATTATATTCTAGTAGGGGTGTTTCACACGTAATGCAGAATCAATATTGCATCAAGCTATCTTCAAATTTGAAGGCATTTGACCTTGAGCCATAAAAAATTTTCGCCTGCGGCGCATTTTTTGTTGGCTTGCCCTAACCCCTCCATTTTGGCACCCATTGGGCAAAACAAAACTCGCCGCCCCTGGTTTTATCTATATCAATTTGTCTACATTTATTATGACGTTAATTGATATGTTCAAGAGTATACAGAATTATTGAGATAGATAATGGTCGATTCTTTCGATATGATATTTGGTCTTGAGAATCAAGGTATACTCTGTATACTCCGTATTGGATTATTTCCCAAACATATTTTTATTTGGTATTTTAGGAGTTGGCGGCATTCTTGTGATGGGAGTTGGAATCATAATAAGCGGAATATTTATTTTAAGAGTCAAGCCGAATGCTAGATTTGTTGCAGGATGGATTGCATTCACGGCAGTTATTTATGCGATAGGTAATTATTTGAATAAAACTTTGAATTCAATGAAATTATTCACGTTTAAATTTTTTCGGAATGTTATATAATATCAAATCATTTTTTCATTATTATTATGAAAAAATATGGACAACCATTCAATTTTCCCTACTTAATTTCTCCTTAACAACATTGAAAGGTTATGAAAATAATTCAGAGCCCAGAGTTTTTTAATAATCTCACTTTTATACTTATATGAATTTTTTCTTCTCAAGAAACCAGTTGAATCCAGCACAAACTCTATAAATATTTCTTGCATTTTTCAATTCATATAGCATTGACTAATATTGCAGAAAATTCAACTCTAAACTAGCTGTGATATTTCAGGAATGGGTATTTTGATGTTCATAGGCTGCCCGACAGACGATCTAGCGGGACTGATGGATAACAAGTGAGTGAACTGTCTGTTTCATATTTGGATAGTTGATTCATAAGCCGGATTTCTAGAGTATTCTCCCTATTCTTATCGTTATGTTACGTGGTGTAGCCTCATTTGTGTGTCGTTCAAATTTATCGGAATTTCTTGTTTGTATATCAGACTATCATTCATACGTCATTGGTGCTTCGGGGTATTCACGAAGTTCAATACCACTTAACTCACTTCATCGGGACTTCACGAACTCGTTGCTTCCTTGCTCGTAGTTTTGTACACCGAATTTCATCCATATTTATCGGACTTATATGGAGTTCTGTGGTATTTCATCATTATTTCGCGGAGACCTTATAGATTAGATCATATTGGAGCCTCTACACTCCTACCTTTTTCAGATCTACAATGTGCCCAAGATAAGGATGAACAGCATGGGTATCTCGGTAACCTAAAGAGTTACACAGCAGGTCAAAAAGTTGCGCAATGGAGTGATCGATAAATAGATATTGGGAAATCCCAAAAATGTCGTCTACTTTTGGAGATATTCGAAAAAAACCGAATTTGGCCATTTAGTTTTTATTATTTTCTGAAGTAATTTGAAAAGTTTCGGAAAACCCAAAGGCACTTTCTCATTGCCACTTTTTTACCTCTACAAAATGACATTCACAAAATCTCCGTAGAACGTTTCGTTTCGAAGTAACGGTTACTGAGATCCCCATGCTGTTCATCCTTATCTTGGGCACACTATATATATTGTATAGCCTCTACATTGCTACCTTCTAGTTCTTGCCCTAGTCTTGTTCATGAGACTCCACCAATAGCTAGCTTTATATTTGCCGTGCATCTGAGAGCTCTCGGTTTTTCTTTTTCCAGCTCAACTAGCTTTAACCTCGCAGTCTTGGCAAGCTCCCACAAGTGGAAAAAATTTGTGTATGTGCTGTTTCCTTCTCTTTCTGGAAGAACCTGCATAGCAGTTCTCCTGCCATGTCCATCGTACTAATATGTTTATCGAGCCTACCATGCCCTGAAAAAAGTCAATATGTAAATGTTCAATGATGCATTGTTCAGCATGTTTCTGGCGAATTGTTTTACGATTCTTGGCGATTTCGTGACTATACAGACATTTTCAGGTACTGCTGTAGCTTGTACACCAGACTTCACAATTGAACCTTCACGAAGTTCTTCGAAAACAGAACTCGTAAGGACTTGTTTCGAGAATTCCTCGTGACGTTTGACTCATTGCTTTCGTTATATTTCATTTCCCCTCTTTCTCATCCTCATCCTGATATCTTATATTCTCTCCCTGTAGGTTCGACCTGTAGCAGCTGACCTGCGCTTTTGTTTCGAGAATTCCTTGTTCCTTCGGCTTGTACAGCAGACTTGCTCTCTATATTTTCGGGTTACACCGGAAGCAAACCTCTCCTCACCCTGACACCGTATATTCTCTCCCTACAGGTTCGACATGCAGCAGCTGATCTGCAACTGCGTTTCTTTCAGGAATTCATCGTTACTTTAGCTTGTATAACAGACTTGTTCCTATTTTGTCGTGTTACATCGGAAGCAAATGCTCTGCGTATCACCCTGACACCGTATATTCTCTCCTCATAGGTTCGAAATGCAACAGCTGACCTGGGACTGCTTTTCTTTCGAGAATTCCTCATTCCTTCGGCTTGTAGAGCAGACTTGCCCTCTATCTTTTGTTATACCGGAATCAAAAAATCTCTCCTCTTCACCCTGACACCGTATATTGTCTCCCTACAGGTTCGACATGCAGCAGCTGACTTGCAACTCGACTTGCGAGTGCAGCACCGACCGACTGACCCCCATCTGCGGCGAAGACGGCATAACCTACCTCTCCCCTTGCCACGCGGGCTGCCAGAACTACACGAAAAAGGACGGCAAGATCGTCGAGTACTCCGACTGCATGTGCCTGAAGGCCCCCGGGGGCGAGCTGGGAAAGGCCAAGATCGGGTACTGCAACCTCGAGTGCAACAACTTCATCCTCTACATCGTGCTCTTCTCGATATTCGTGTTCATCCACTCGACGTCAGAGGTTTGGAACGATTGATATTACTAAATAGAAATTTCAAGTTTCAAAATCGAAACTTTTGAAAATTTCCAAAGAGATCTTCCATTCGAAAATTTCTACATTACATTTGAAATTTCAGAAATTTTCACGATTCTATGTAAGATTGAAGGTAGAATTCGGTGGCTGTTGGTGCATAAGCGCTGCAATGCTGCAGAGGTTACAAAAAATGAAAAACTAAAAAATTTTAAGAATCCCCGTTATTTTAAGTGGACCTTTCGCTGCTTCTAGTCCAACGCCCTGCAAACACTATTGCGGTGTCGCTATTGAGTACCTATTCTAGTTTACGGCGAGTTCAACGTGTATTGCTGACAATAATAATTATTATACTATGGAAGTGGTGTTCAATTCAATTAACCTGAAGAGATTTTCTAAATATTCATACGAAGGAAAGATAAAATTGAAGAGATTTTCTAAATATTCCTACGAAGAAAAGATAAAATTGATAAGAAGAGGTAGTCTATTACCAGATATTTTTATTGAAAAATCTGGTTTAAGTAGAAAGACAAGTTATAGGTCAAACACTTGATACTATTTTCCCTGCCTACTTACTGTGATAGCTAGGGATCTAGGAGAAACCTTGAGGGAGACAAGAAAATCAAGGGAAACGATAAAACGAATCAAAATGATCCTTAGGAATTCAATGACTGATGACGATCGTTTAACAGATATCTTTCCCGGCTATCTATAAGAAAAACGTATCTCTGGAATAGACAAGTTCTATAACAAAGTGATAACAAATTTCGCGAACAAAGAAGAACGGATAGACTCGATTTATAAAAGTAGGCATTTTTTTCCCAAAAAAAATAGATAAGTACATAATAATAACAGTTTAAATGGAAATGTCCTCAAATCTTTCATATCAATATCAGTTTTTACACTCACACATACATTCATATCCTTTGTCTTATAGGTACAAAGCCCGTATAGAATTTCTTCTGTTCTGGTAGAGGTTATCTCGTTTGGCTTCAAGAGCTCATAACTTTTTTCTCACCGCTAGCTATAACACCCACCAAGGCGTAAAGTAAAGTGTGTTTTCACTACCAAGGTAATTTTCGTAATTTTATGAACTACTAGTCAATAAAGACATAGCCACCTCTGTTATAATTAACCCTAATTCACTGTCCTGATGCGAGATTCGCAAGAATTGCATTCGAATCTATATAGAAAGTATTTTTCAATTACCTACGATTTGTCATATGCTGTCATGGTCATGGCGACTAGATTTTGAATAGAATTGAAAATATGTGCTTTCATAGTGACAATTGGTCCATATTTCAGAATCTACTGTAGGTATTTACATTTATCAATAACGACTTGTCATATGCTGTCTTAGTTATATGCCTACTATTAGACCTTAATTAGAATTGAAAAAAAGTGCTTTCATAGTGACAATAGGTTCATTTCAGTTCCACAGAACTATTATGATTGAAATATATAGCTGGTGTTGAAAAAAAGAATATTATACACCTTCATAGTAAAGAATATTATCACCACGAGAACTTATATACCTCAACTGTAGCTTCGGGATATAATCTGGCCCTTGGGTAATAATAATATTCTATACTACCTTGGAGTATGAATGAATATTAACGGGCAAAACGGGCCTTGGAACAAACCTCTTGTTCAGCATAATTGAATCTATCTAATCTTAGATTTTCACAATATTTCACCGTAGACAAGATTTCTACGCAAATGGTGCGGGGTCCTTTGTGAAATAAATTTCGTGTACCTATCTCAAAAGTGAAATATTCCCGACCATAGGTGGGTTCAATGCTTCTCATCCTGAGGTGCGTCGACCCCAGGGACAAGGCGATGGCCCTGGGGCTGATCCAGTTCGCCATAGGGCTGTTCGGCAACGTGCCGTGCCCCATCGTCTACGGGGCCGTAGTGGATTCCGCGTGCCTCGTGTGGAAGATGGCTTGCGGAGAGAAGGGCGCCTGCGGCCTCTACGATTCCAACGTGTTCCGCATGTTTTACCACGGTGAGTTTTCCTTCGGTTTCCCGTTTTCCGTTTCGTCTGGTCGCTCTCCTCCTCTTTTATCGATCGTGGTGCGCAACCAACTAGCGCCTGCAGCAGTGTTGCCGGTTTTGATGATGACACGAATAGCGCAATGCTGCCAACATAAAAGCGCAATATCCAAAACAAAAACTTGCACATGCGCATTATCTGGAAAATTTTGCTCATGAAGCTAGTTTACTGCTTGGACAATTTTAGCACACAAGTCTGAAATTTGTGAAATTTATCCAAAATCGTTAACAGCGTAGTTATAAAATATATCAATCAATAGCTAGCTAATATATAATAAGAATAAAACATTTTTATTTCTGAAAGTAGAGTTGGCAAATCGGATCGAAATCATTCTCACAATTATTTTTTCTTATCGACCAATATTATTATTTGCATCTAAAAAATAAACGACTTAAGTGCATGGATTTTTGAACAAATACCTTCATAACAGCATTTTATCACAATATTTACTCGACAAGGTTATCAATAGGTAGGTACCTAAAATATATAAGAGAATAAATATAATGTGAAACGATGTTTTCTAAAATATGACAAAAATATAAGTCGAAATGATTCTCGGTATTACTCAAAATGAATTGACAAAAACAACAGACTCCATAAAGATTCACTGAACTTATTTAATTGAGAAAAAAATTCATTGCCGAAGTATTACTGATGATGTTTTCATTTTTTTAATTTTTATTATTATAGGTACTACAGGGGCCATTCTATTATGCGCATTTTTCGTTGACATATTAGTTTGGTACAAAGCAGGAAGTATCAATTTCGTCGACGAACAAGTGCCCTTCGAAGAAGAACTGCACACCATTACGGGAAAAATAAAAAACGAGCCAGAATAGCAAAAAACTACGGTGGATATACCACCAAAATATTGAAGAAGGTAGATGTCCATATCTGTGTTGTATATAAATTTTTTGTATTAGATTTGTGTATATTCTGCATTGTTATGAAACGAAGGATTTTCGCCGGATGAACCTAAAAAACATATTTGACCCGATCTTAATGACGTAGAGAGACAAGGAGAATTATAAGTAGTCAGAAAATGAAGTAATTGAAGATATACATCACTTCAGCAAAAAGATATTGAAAATATATTATTACTATTATTTTTATGATCGGCTAATTATAATTAAGTTATAAGTAATTTTAATTGTGGAATCTCAACACCAAAAAAATAATCAACCATTTCGATGTAAAAAGCGTACCTATATAGCGAACTATAATAAAATAGGAACATTTTCTGTTGAAGCCTTTGATTCCATTGTTCACGAAACATCATAATGGATCATCCTGTACCAACCACGACGGTTGATAGATTTCACAATTACGAAATTTGTATAGTAGGTGTTTAGGCAATTTCCTTACAGGAACAACTTTTTTCATTGAATATTAAAAGTAAGCGGCCAAGGCCAAACGTTCTAAATTTATAAATAATTATAATATTATTTATTTGGAAAACAACTCTGGTCGTTTTACGTAGAATTTTTTAAAAATATAATTTGGCATGATGAAGGAGAATAAAAATCAACTGTGTACTGAATGACACTACAAAACTGCAAACCATAGGCGTCTATCCTAAAAATAAATCGAATTAATTTCGATAGAAATATCTTTGAAATTTAGAGCTGATGAACAAAAAGTATTTTTAGTTGATTTTCACTCTACTGATTCATAAAAAAAATCCTCATTCCATTTCAAGAATTGAAGTATGCCATGTACCTTATTCTTAACAACAAATCGTTTGTACCCGTAAAGAAATAATGGACTCATCCGCTGTTGATAATAAGTGGATATGACCTCATTTTTAGGACTCGGCCTTTTTTATAAGCGCTTTGAACTTTATTTCATCAATTATTATTTATATTTATCTGATCTGACACCGCATATCGTTGAGCGGTATTAAGCAATAATATAATATTTAGTAGTATAGATGAAGAACTTATTTTTACTCGAGGTACCAACACCATCCCAAGCAATTTCAACATAATCAACTGAATCTTAATCATTTCTCATTAATTATTTCTGTTCCTTCAATGTGCGTACCATTTGGCGAAAAAGTTGTAAAAGTTTACATATTAATAAGTGCTTGGAGGAGTACATTTCCATATGTAGACCCAATTAATAGGTTACGGACCACGCAATATCGCGAAAACAAAATAGTTGAATCATATCAAAAGCTCATCCACGGTTCAGATAAGAATCGTCTATCTCGAAAAAAAAACGAGTTCATCGATCTCTAGAGTAAACTCGGGATTTATCACGACTTTTTGACGCTTTTCTTCGAAATAGCATCAACTCTTATCGGTGCTTGTTTCGACAGCAACGGCGATAAACACAAGTTGTATGTGTTAATCGAATTAAGTATTTGAACGATCAAGAACCGAATATTTCCAAATGATACTGTAACGACAAAAAATGCGATCTACCGGATTATTAATTTAGCCGTTTAGGTAATTCTTCCTTTCGGTACCTACGCTACTGGCTCGTGAATGTTCTATCGATCAGAGCCCTGCTAGCTCTCTGGTAGACTATTTATAAAAATACTCTCGATCTCGAAGTAAATGCATTTTTATAGACATCTAATTTAACTGAATTGATCGATGAAAAAATTTGAATCTTGGTGCTCGCCAGCACTTATTGGATGATTATTGAAGATAGGTCTACAGAGAATGCGGATTATAGAAAAAATGCCCATTAGCTTCGCAACCAGTAATCGAAAGATGATTTTTTCGGATTCGAATTGAATATCGGCATGCTCGGTTTTCGAAGGCTGAATATTTCCAGGGCCGGCTTCGCAATTCTTTGCATTTAATCCAAAATACTCATACAGGGAGATTATTGGGCATATCAACAGTACAGGGTGATTGTTTATATTTTACTCAATAGCTATCTAGTTAATATTGGTCCTACAGAAATGTCCAAATGGGCAAAAGTTGAGTATTATGAGCATAAAGAATCCAGTACTAGGAAATGCAAAAAAGCATCGTTGACCTGAAAATTTTACATAAACTGGTATTTTTCAAATAGAACACCCTAGATTTTATTTTTTTAAACGGAGCTCTTTCCTCTGATTTGAAATATATATACTTTATTGAGGTTTTCTTTGTCAGTCAGAAATGCCCCCCTAGGGGGTTATAGCCATCCGAATGAAAGCCCGAGGTATAATGGATTTTGGTAAATATTTTCGAAAATCTCTGTGATAAAATAATACCAAATTTTTTATGCCCAAGTTGAAAATGTTGAAGCATTTTCCGATATTTTGATCAGGGGCGTGAGAAATAGGTGGGGCTAGGCGCACTTTTTCCTCCAACTTCTTTATAATGCAATTTTCGGCAATTCGATCAGGAAATATGAAAATATCATCAGTTTTACCTAAAAATGTTAGTCATGTTGTTTCGATAGCCACCATTTTCGAGATAAATCGAAGTCTGCTGCGTAATAAAATAAGTACTTTTTCTTAATAGGGTTCCTTCCACCTTATGTTTCAATTCTTTCTTTATATCGCACCCTCCATATTTTGAATCCAACATCGAAAGTATTCCCCATCAAACCATAAGTTTTGGGAAAATTCGGTACCCTATTGAGCAAAAAGCACTTTTTTTAGTAGGCAGTGGAATTTTGAAATCAGTTTATTTCGAAAACGATATCAGAACTGAACAAGAGTACCATTTTTAGGTGCTGAGAGTTCCATATTTCCTGGTCAAACTGTCGAAAATTGCATAAACTATTTCCAAGCCCCTGATCAAATTTGGGAAAGTCATTTGCAGTTTTAAATTGGGCATAAAAAGTTAGACATATGTTCAAAACTTGGTTATCTTATATTATGTAGGGTTTCGAGAATATTTACAAAAAACCATAATCTCGGAATTGCCCTCGGATGGCTATAACCCCCTAGCTGGGCATTTCTCGACCCATGTTTATATCAAGTTTTTTTACTATTTTTGTTTCTAGAATCTTGAAATCTTTACATGTAATTTCGGAACACCCTGTATAGGGTCTCAAAATGTCACTGCGTTTAAAAAGCTTACTATATGTATATAGTGAGCATGCAAGAATGAAAGATGTTTGAAGAAGAGAAATATTTTTTCTCATCTTTGGACGTATCAGGAACGAATCTTTTCCCGATTTCAACATAAAAAAAAAATATTTTTTTTAAATTGTCTTCGTATTTAAATGTTAACAAACAATTGAGTTACAGGCTGTTTTCATTAATTAATCTCGAATTTGTCATTTTGATGTTCAGATTTCAGTAGTGAATACCATGTTCTATCTATATCAACTGAACAGGAAGCAATGCTATTGTCCCCTTTCAGAAGAATGCAAGCGGTTTTCTTGTGTTTTCTCTCTTGGTTGTTATCTTCTTTATCCCTATGATTTCGATATTATTCCAATCTGTCATTATGTTGAATATGGCTAGTACTTTAGTCGCTTGAGTAGTAGAAGGAGAATATTTGTATAATAACAGCAAAATATACTGGATGGTTCGTTTTATATTTATGACCCGCTTCGAAGAAATAAGCAGAATCAATAAAACAAAACACTATGTATTAATTTCTCAACATTTTTGTGATTTCGTTTACTCGTCTAAATAAATAAAAGTATTGTAAGGGTAAAATTTAGACTCAATTTAGATCCATAACTATACCTACTTGACCTTTATTTGTTGACTAATAATGGAATACCTTATTGTATATATATTCTATTTCCATACAAGTATTCAACATTTTTCGAAATATATTATTTGTGGGAATGATATATACATGATTCCGTGAAGAATATATGGATGGGTCTTGCCTTGGACTTTTGCTAACGATTAATTTTTTTTCACCTGATATCCCTCCAGTTTGATATACATATAATGGACTTCTATTAAAGATAAATTCAATATCATCCATCCATCCAACTATTTAGATTTCCAAGTTGGCCCACCCTACGAGATTGGAATAAATTTACATATTTTATGAATCATTATAGCGAAGATAAACGTTCAACATTTTTGGTTACCTACAGAGCGACGTTGAAATTTCCATCCAGAATTTTTTTTGGGCATGGACTCAAAGGCTGTGACCAGAAAGGTGTTTGTACGTACGCATTGAAATGAGCAATTATTTTCTTCCGTCTCTAGAATTTATTTCTTCATGCATTTCAAGTTTCTTTGTACATCTTTACAAACAAAAAACAATTTATCTGTGGATAAATTGAAATAAATATTCATCAGGTACAGAGGATTAACAGCTGAGTAGGGTTTACCTGAGTTGAAATTTGTAGTTTAGTGTATTGTATATAGTGACCTGACCATTTGTAAAAAAATCTTTGTTGTCGATAGTATTCTAAAAACCAATCCTGTTTGCAGTTTGCATTGTTTGGAAATGGACAAAGAAATCTTCGTATCAAGTCCATAATACCTGCTTGCACATACTTCAAGTACTCTATCGTATACGGACAATTTTCTTGTCTTTCTCTTTGAATAACGGAAAATGTGATCGATAAACATTACTGAAGAAAAAACCGACCAAAGATTTTTCTCAACTAGTGGTCCATCATGCTTATTCAAATCACTAAATATGCGATAATCCTGTAACAAGTAAGTTATATAACTTTTTATTTCGATGATTCAGGGGCTTAGAAAAACTACTTGAAAATAATAGGTCGCACCGACCGTGAGGAGAATTAAGAAGGCCCTATGATTTGTTCAGGGTCGCATTTAGAAATTCGAATTTAAATGAAATGATTCTATATGGTTTATTTTACCATGTTCAAATGATTATTCTTGCAACAGTTTCTGTCACAATATTTTTGTTGGTAGTCTCTAACCAATAGACTGCAGTACTAAATATAATCTGTGATATTTAAAATATAATCTACATCTTTTTGAACAGATTTTGTAGTAACTATTGTATTCTCATAGTTTTATGTTTAAATGATAAATGGTTGGTGAAAATGTTATTACTACCCAATTAGATATACCTCGTAACATGTGACAGGTAGCACGAAAAATATACCTGGTACCTACCACTTCACAGTATATGTATAGGTAGGTATATTGGCAGCTTGTGAACGACATGTTGACATGTTAAGAGTGTTATGTCAGATGTTATAAATTTAGTTTAACACACCTAGTTACCATTTTGTTATATTTAAATAAATAATGTGTACGCATTTAACATTTACATGTGCCATGTACTATATTCAGTATAGGTATATTATAATCTGAAATACCTCAATTTTTATACTGTGCTCAAGATTGTTACTTTTCTACAAAATACTGTCTATTGAATTCAAATATCTGAACTCTGATTTAATTAAACAAAATCATCATAATATACTCAGTTTTTTTGTACCATATCCCAAGACCCAAAGTCCTTATATGTTTCATGAAACTGATTGATGATGACAAATTGAGCCATCTACCAGTTGAATAGGAAATGTTGAAAAGCAAAAGCAATAAAATACAATAATCAGACAGGCCATAAAACTTTCTATTTCTTATTCCAAATGATTCATTGTTTAAGTCTGTACAGATTCTCTGCAAAATAACTTATAAGGAGTATGGCTACCTACTTGAGTGTAGGTAATTCACGCAAAAACTTTCACAAATAAAAGTATATGGTAAATGCAAAGAAATGAAGAAAGTTATCTCATCAAGGTCACCCGATAACTGGCCCGAAGTGAAATAACTGTCAGCAACTTTTCCACAGATTATTATTTATATATCAAGAACAATGATTTGATGACATGAAGCTTCCCCGCATTTTTTTTACCGATTCTGAATCAATTATTACCCATACCCCTGATTATATACACTAGTTTTGTTTGTCCAGCTATTATTCTGAAATTTGAAACATCGAATATAATCACTAGAGGGCACTTTTTCACATTTTAGAATATTTTTTTTCATCTTCATCCGGTTTTCCTGAAGTTGATGTCATTTCTAGGAAAACCTGAAGATGAAAAATTGTTCCTAAAATGTGAGAAAGTGCCCTCTAGTGAGCGTATAGAAAATGGTGGATATACTATGAGGCTGTGTCATCCGGTACCTGTATACCGACTGATTTAATTTTGAAATAATCCAGTCGGAGACATTCGAAAAATTCATCAATCAATATACGTTTATTATACTGTGTGACCCACTGAGCAATGGCAGCACCTGAATTTTCTTATCTGTGGACCGATAATAAATCAACAGGTAGGTATACCTCATTGAGACGAGTGTATAGTCAAAGAGATCTACAGTTATGGATATTTTCCCCACCCATTGCACAGCCAACTATATATGTTGACGAAAATGACACAAAAACAGCTTGTTATGCGACATTTTTTATGCAAAAGTCATCATCAAATTGTGCAAGAATTTTTAAATCGAAATTCTGAAAACACTTCAAGTTTAGGGCAGGTAGCCCAAAATATCCAGGATATGATCATGATAATATTAGAAAACAGCAAAATTTATGGTTCTCAATATTCTTATAATACTGGAATAAACTATCTTAGAGAACAATAATATGACCAGTTTGATTACTTGGTGCATAGAAATAAATGATCACCCGAAAATTATACCAGTGGCGGTGCTCAAAGTGGGTCACTGTATGAAAACAGCTATTCTGCTTGTAATAATTTGGCCGCCAAAAACCACAGAACATCTTCTCCAGTGTTCCGTTGTCTTATTGTAATCTGGAAATAATTAGTGACATCTATGATAGGAAATCCGATCTTTTGAATTTCATACTGTAGCGCTACCTACAGAAAACTGTACTGAAAGACTAGAATTGAATAAGGTTTCGAAGGATTCTAACTTCAAGTTTTCTCTTTATACATTCTAAAACCTCTCTGGTTTATTCATTTTGCTAGGAATAGGGAACTGTATTGTGAATGTTAGGTTAGCTCAGATCGTCTATGGTTAGCTGTGTCTGCTCCGATACTCGTCTGTGCGTTTCAAAGACCCTCATATGATTTCATTTTCAAAGTCTATCTCATTTATAATAAAACCGGAGAAATTATATACCAAGTAATTGTCTAATTTTCGTTTTTTCATACTTCCAAACTCCTCATCTAAAAATCTACAAGAAAAAAGGTGTCTTGCCTATATTTACCTCAAACCAACCCATCCCTAGAAAAATGGCCAGTTACTATGCGAACAAGTCATCAGAAAAATTGATTTCAACGTTCTCTGGCAGACGTTTCACATTGAATTATTTGATTTTTCGAGTTAAATTACCCTGAAGTTACGGACTCTACTTATAGATTTACCTGTGTATGCCAATTAAATTAAATCAATGAACATTACAGTGTTACCCTCTTGAAAGCGACCGATTTTGAAATTGTTTTCTTCAATTGGGCATGAAAAACTGTCCTTCAGGACAGATTTTCCGTGAACATTTTTTTTTCGACATTCATACCCAAAGATTTATGGTTGGAAAAATCGGATGAATAAAAATTCAAGGGGGGTGACTATCGCTTTCACATCGGTCATTTATTGTATTTATAATGTTGGATATTATAGACAAGGGTGCAATTATGAAGGATATTGTCAGTTTTAAATATTTTTATTTAAACATATTCTTCACTTCTCACTATACACAGAGGAAAAGTTTCTCAATAATTCACATTTCAACAGTTCAAATGTGAATCACAGAAGTGATAAAATACATACACCAACAAGTATTTCAAGATGTTTTTATATTATATTAAAATTAAACAAAAATATTCAAATAAATGAAAGGAACAATACTAAACACAAATATACAGATAAAAATACTGCATGAAAGGTCTTAATAATAATGATTTTTTTTGTAAAAATACAATGAGCCTTTTAAACTATGTATATGGACTCCATGTATTTTACTTTAGCTGGATATTGAAGAAAAGAACAATCATAACACTGGGCTGGATTACAACACTAATTTAAAGCTGAGAAAATTCATAAAAATGATTCATAACTATAGATTTGCAGAAACCATATTCAGCGAAATTATTGAAACACCATTAACATATCCATGATGAGAGCAAAGAATATAATATTGAGACTATTCATCTGGTGAATTTCACTACGTCAACAGAAGAGTTTTATTTTTATATCTGACATAGATCATAAAAATGAAAACCAGAGTACACACGAAATAAATTAAATCATTAAATCTAACATACACGCTTATCTTTCAATAATGTTAAAAAATAACGTATTGAGTAATATTTAGACACAAAGCTGGTTTAATTGAGATACTTAAAGCACTGATGTTTTGAAAACATGTCAGCCTTCTATATGGGGTTGTGTGGTATTTTTGATACATTTATTTACGATAATTGAGCTACTGGCAATGCTATTTAATCACAAATCCTCAAAATTCATAAATCATACTTCTAAATAGGTGTCCTGATGACCTGATGGTACCTACATTTGGAGTCTAATCAGGTTATCTCAATCATTCTGTCCTATAGATTTGACGAAAAAAAAAAAACGTTTTGTACCAATTCCTTCAGAGTATTATTTAATGAAATTATGCATATTTCCATCGCCAGCTAGCAATCAAACAGAAGACACAATGCTCCCCTGGTGACGCCACTGGTACAGAAATTCATTTTCCTCTAGGAATTTATTAATTCAGTTGAATATCTTGGATATTTATCAACAGTTCTTGAGTACGACCCTGTATCTCAAGAAAAAAAAAAGTTTTAACACATTTTCAAAAATCCAAGGAATAACCCCCATTTAATATGGGCCTAACATTCAGGAACACCCTGAATAGATAATTTCAAAAAAATATCACCCTATATCACCCTATCAGCTATGGATTGAAAATCACTGGGATTAATAATACTTGTTTGGTGTATTTTCATTTAGAATACTAGTTACTTAACAAATTTAATGTCTGGGATTCTCTTAAAAAATTCAACATTTCTTTTTTTCGGAAATATTGGGGCACCCGCAAGTGCAAACGTCTTACTTACGGTTTGTTACCATGCCATGAAAACTGGACAGCTATCTTAACTTTAAAAACTAAGTAGCAACAACTAGTAACACTGACTCTATTTTGTTCGGCAAGACTAATACCTGAAAAGTAAATGAGTAAGTATTAGAATTGAAGAATAAAATCGAGGGATGTCTAACCTATAGTAATTAGGCTTGAATGGACCTGCTTTGTTCAATCCCATATATTTAGCTTGTTCATCAGAAAGTTCTGTCAAATGTGCATCAAATGTAGGGAGATGTAGACTTGCCACATATTCATCTGAAACAATATCAATGACCATAAGATTAAATCTATGCAATGACTTACAATCCTTCAATAAATTAGATCACAGGATAGATGGTTTTCTATACAGGGTTGTCCAAATTAGGAGCAGCCACTGGTAACTGGGCAATCAGTGAATATATAAAATTGTTTAATTTCCAAAAAAACAATATTTTTGAGTAGAAGAAGACTCCTGATGAGCATTTTCATCTAAACTAAAACTTGAGGTTCTCACAGGAAAAAATATAACACACATAGGTTTTCATGTGAAACATTTGAAACATTGTATTTTTCGCCTTGACAGGAAAAATCGATGCATACTATTTTTTCCATTCTCCCATTTTGAAGGAAAGTAAAAATACTGCTAGTTTGCGTATTTCAACAAATCTGTCTATATACAGTGTGATACATTCAAAAGTGGAACAACCACTTAGTATTCATGTTTATCGACCGATTTCTCAAACTGATAGGAGCATGAAAAACTGTACTTCAGGACTTAAATACACCCCTTGTAATGAGCAAACTACCCTCTCCAAATACTGTCTGTACGTTAATCGAGGAGGTTGTATATTTATTTTTCTAGATAATTTGGGATTTTCTCTCCTCGTTTCTCTAAAATAAAAATATTAGACTCATTTCAATACAGGGTGATTCAGGTTTTAGAGCACAAACTGAAATAGGAGGTAGAACTCATCATTTTAATCAGAAAAGTTCATATATACATCAGTTCGATCTCGTTCAGTAGCGGAGCTACAGGGGGTCAAAGTTTAATTATTCTTTTCTATTAATTGAAATATCTCGCTTACTTTCAATTTGAAATTTGGTGTGGTCGATACAATTTAGAATATCATCATTTCAAGTCATTTTAAGATTTTCAAAATCTACAGGGTGCTACGGTTTTGGGGGTAGAGGCTTCTTTATCTCCCTCAAACTTTTTCGTAGTACGCCTCTGGCATCTTCTCGTGATCAAATTGTGTGGATCGTTCAATTTAGAGGCTTTTTTGTCCTTCAATTTTTTTCGAGAAACGAACTGTTTTCGAGATAATTTAGCATATACGATCTGAAACATGTTAATTTTGCCTGTTTCGCTTGAATTTCATTTAACTGAAAAAAAAAAAACCTCGACTTTCTACCCTCCGTATTCCCGTAAATGATCCAGATTGGACTAGTGATTGCAATTTTAACGAATTTTGTCAAAGAATTAAATTTAAGCGAAACATAGGCAAAATTAACATGTCTTAGAACGTATAAGCTCATTTATCTCAAAAACGGTTCGTTTTCTCGAAAAGAATCAGGAAGCAAAAAAGCCTCTAAATTGAACGATCCACACAATTTGATCAGTGAGAGAAGAGGCGTACGACGAAAAAGTTTGGGGGGGATAAAGAAGCCACTACCCACAAAAACCTATCACCCTGTTGATTTTGAAAATCTTCAAATAGCTTGAAATGATGACTTTCTAGATAGTATTGACCACACCAAATTTCTAAATGAAATCTCAAGAAGTAAGCGAGATATTTCAATTAATATAACAAACTTATTGAACTTTGACCCCCTGTAGCTCCACTTCTGGACGAGATCGGACTAATGTTTATATGAACTTATCCGATTGAAATGATGAAATCTATCTCCCATTACAGTTTGTGCCTCAAAACCTGAATCACCCTGTATACGTGTAGTAGAAAAAAATCAGATGATTTGCCCCGTTTTACTCCAATCGCAGAGAGTGCCCAACTGGACTATAGAAGTTATCACTTCAATAATTTTACATGTCCATAACCCGATTTTCTAGGATTTAAAATAATTATTTTGTTCACCGACTGATAGTGCTTACCCATTTTTTTGGGTAGAAGATAAACATCAGACTTGTACCTCCCTTGTGGAGCATTGAATAACTCTATTAAAGCTAAAGCTTGAGTACAAGAAGTGATTGAAACGACGAATGAAGGCAAGCTAGAACAACTCAGGTTCACAAGGCGACCTTCAGCCAAAAGGATGATTCTCTTGCCGTCAGGCCAGATCACGTGGTCAACCTGAGACCTCACTCTTTCCCAAGTCAGGTCAGGAGTCCTTAAACTATTCTGAAAAAAAAAAATAGATCCGACTTATTTGATGTCAAAGTCAGAACGGAAGTGATGTCCTTACAATGTCAATTTCAGTGTTGGAATGTCCCATATTACAAACAATGCAGCCATTTTTCATTTTGTCCATGTGTTCCCTAGTTACCACATTTTTGTTGCCTGTAGCAGTTATAACAATGTCTATAGTCCGAATTACTTCGTTCAGTTTCACAACACGGAATCCGTCCATACTGCAAAAGCATTAAAATATCTAGTGAAGTAAGTGGATTTTAAGCCACTGGCAAAAAAAGTTGGCAATATTTTTTTCAGTCGTTTTCAGCCAGCTTAAATATGAAGCAGATAGAGGTTGTTTCTGTATATATACAGGGTGTTATTCGAGTATGTGGCCAAACTTCAAGGGATAACACATATAGGTCCAAAAATGCTTCGTTTTCAAGTTAAAAAAAATATTTTTTTCAACTTTTGTGAACTTTTCGTCTTAGAATAACACCCTGTATAACTAGACAAGATAGATCTTTTTCCATTCCTTGAGTCATGCAGATTGTTATAGGACGTGTCAAAAAAGATCAAAGTGAATATAAATGGAAAGAATAAAAAGGTAAAACATACAGGGTTCAGAGATAAAATCACACAGGAAACTTACATACCTAAATATATTATTCAAAGAATTTGATAAGCAAGCCATTGAGCAATGATGTATCATTTTAGAAGGAATCGTTGTTTTATAAAGATTTTTCAGAAATATATAAAGGAAATTAACCCGTTTCCTTAAAACCCCCAATTCCTTTTGGATGCTGCAAAGGATTTGGGAAATTCCATTTTTATTAATTATTGGACCCCATCGTACTTTCAATCGAAATTTTAATTCTATATCAATTTTAGGTCCAAGAAATTTGAAATTTCTGAAATTCACCCCATGACTCCCTAAAAAAATTGAGTACGTTCTTCCTCAGATCGATATTTTCAATTTCAACCAAATGATGTTGAACTCTGAACTCCCAATTTTCATTATCTATCAGTGTCAATCCATCCATGTTTTTTTTTAATTTTTCAATTCCCTTCAAAACTTCGGCAGTTTTTTTTGTCCCCACAAATCAAAAGGTTCAAAAATATTGACCTGAGTTCGAAGACAAGGGATTTCGTTGTGTTGATTTTGCGAGTGAAAGAACCCTCTCCCCCCCGTATATGATCATAACCTTTCAGAAATAAAGATCCTCACATTTACATTCATTATTATAGAAGATAAGCTTTGAAAGAAACATATAAATGTATTAAAATTACCCATTGCATTCCAATGAATTTTTTAGCCAACTCATAAAATCGGCTAAAAATGCTAAAAAAATATGTTAAGCTATAAATCCATATCACCAAAAAAAATCAGAATACTCTTGTTTCTGCATACTTTGAGTTTGCTTGAAAAACTTACCTGGCTTGAAGAGCACATATGGGGTCAATCTCAGTAACGTAGACTACACAACCAAAGCCTTTGAGTGCTTGTGAACAACCTTTCCCTACTTCACCATAGCCACATATGATAACTTGTTTTCCTCCAAACATAACATCAGTTGAACGTTTCAAACTAGATAGAAAACATAGGTATCTCAAGTAATGCCTTGTACTTGACATTTCGTCAAAATTTACCTATCGATAATTGATTCTCGGCAGCTATACAAATTGTCATATTTAGTCTTGGTGACAGAATCATTGACATTCATGGCTGGGACGGTTAGTTTGCCACCTTTTGACAGCTGATATAAACGATGGACACCTGTCACACTCTCTTCAACTATTCCTGGAAAGATTAATATTTAGTTCAATGAATCAACTTGATCGTTATCTCACTAACCCTTGATCAGTTTGAACATGGCAGGGTACTTTTTCAGCATGAGATGTGTAGCATCCCCTCCATCATCTAATATCATATTGGATTGCCAGTTCTCAGAATTGACACATTTGTCAATGCACCACCAAAAATCCTCTTCTGTCTCTCCACGCCATGCAAAAACAGAATAGCCTGCCTCTGCCAATGCAGCAGCAACTTCATTCTATAACACAGGTAGAATAAGACAGAACTGGATGTAAAAATTCATATTTGCTGCATTCCGAATAATTGCTTTTTTCTGTGAGTACTTTTATCCCAGATGTACAGGGTGTCCCTAAAAGGTCTTTACAAAAACTTAGCACACATTTATCAGACCAAAACAATTCCATACAAGCAAATTTAACCCAGTAAAAAATTGCTGAGTTTGGGTGCTAGACAGCTCTGAAGCTACAATTTTCAATTGCTTCATAACTTTGAAACGGCTCATGAGATTTAACTCAAATTTGGTACATGATAATTATACATATCATTCCATGGTCGTAGAACTTTATTTTTTCACTAAATAATTATCTGAAACTTCTACGCCAATGGAAATAAAGGGGTTTGAAGATGAAATTTGGATTGCGTGACTTGTTTACTATAAAAAAATGTACTCTTATTGATAAAATTCGGTTACCCTCTTGGTTTCGACAAAATTTTAATTTTAGTAATTCAAAGCATCAGTCAACACACTAAAGCGATAAACAGATATTTCTCAAAAATTGTTGAAAATTTTCATCATCTCCACGTATACAAAGATTTATAGGACGAAAAAAAAAAATGAATATTGAATTTTGCTATGAGCTATTTTTTGTTGTTTTTATTTTGGTACTGAGTAAGCCAGAGTCGTCTATAGGGCCCAGACTGAGCAACTCTGTACTGAGGTGTAATTTTTTCACCGAATAAATCTTTGCATACCTACGTGAAAACATTCTGAACAATTTTCATGACAAATCTGTTGATCGTTTCAATGTTAACTGATGCTTTGAATTAATAAAATTCAAATTCTGTTGAAACCATTAAAGTAATCGAATTTCATCAAGAGTCCTTTTTTTGTAGTGAACAAGTTAGGCAATCCAAATTTCATATTCAACCCCCTTCTATCCATTGGCGTAGCAGTTTTAGATGTTTATTTCATTTAAAAATCAAGTACTACGCCCATGAATTAATATTTATCATTATCATGATATGGATTTCATTGCCCAATGAAACAATGACAACGTACCAAATTTGAGTAAAATCTACTATAAGCTGTAGGTCCCGCTCTTCCTAACCCCGCACAACTTCGAAGTAGCGATACATTAATTCACAAAAATAAATTATGCTGTTGATGGCTTTTGTTGGGCCAAGAACTACAATTCCTTTTTATCATCCATTCCACTTTGCGATTACGTAAATTACTGAACAGCCCCTAAGTTCGCAATTTTTCAAAATCAAACGCTCTTCAATCATTTCCTCTTTTACAATTCCTTGATTTTCGCCTACTTCGATAAACATAACATAGCGTGGGTGAATCTCGCTAAGTTTAGTCTGGTGCCGCACCAAAATTACAGGCACCAATGTGACAATTGTGACCAATGAAGATAGGGAATACATTTTGCGATTTAGCCGCATCACTGATGTTAATCATAAGTTCTACCTACCTTGAGCCGCACTAGGAACCACGCCATCTAACATTCAATATGTGAACCCCACGTCATCGTCTGAAATTCAATTATTTATATCAAGAACGAATATGATGGAACAAACGAATAGTGAGCGCACCAGAGGTTTATTTCATCCATATATGTACTATATCTATATATGGCGCATCGCCTATATGATATCTCAACAAAAATGGGACCAAAATGACAGGTACTTTTTGAATCAATAAGGACGGGAAGTGAAGGATGAAAACAGCCATATTGGTTTGACAAGTTTCGTATTATTTTTTCCCTACGTCGGCATCAACGCCTATTGGTCGATTTCGTACCTTTGAGGACAGCTATGATTCATATGTGAGCAATGAATTGTATATATGAGTAGTAGATATATGTATAATATATGTTTGTGCATTCTATTCTATTCTAATATGCATTCTAAAAAGGTTCTTTCCTTAATTGCGATTTCCTGGCAAATTTTTAGTTGAATGAAAAAAATGCAAGAGACCGAATTCTTACATTTTTTTATGACCCACAAGATCATGCTATTCAGTCAGAGTTTCTCTTTTTGAAAATAATACTGGGTTTACATAATTTTGGAAGCAAGAAGGAAATTAACTGTTTAAAAAGACAGGATTTGATCCGTTATTTTAGTAACAACAATATTTCCCTAAAATATTTCCATCGAATTTTGAATCATTCTGTATTTTGAGGTTGTGATGGAGATGAAAAGTAACAGAACAGTGTGAAAAAATGTATCATCAGTCCGGTAGCCTACTGATTCCAATACTTTGGTGTGCCAATATCGGCGTTGGCCAGTTATGATTTTCACCTGAGTAGAGTAAATGTTGCATGCTGCCCATCTCACGCTAGCACCCAGTGCAGTTAGTGTTTCAATCAAAACGGCAGTCTGTGCGTTTATATGAGTGCATCCGACGATCTTTGCATTTTTCAGTGGCTTGTCGTCAGCTGCCCTCTTCCGCAAGGCCATAATACCAGGCATCTCTGAAAACCAATTTGTAATTGGCTGAACTGTTGATTTTGCTTCAATGAGAAAGTTACCTTGTTCGGCGATTTCTATCTCACGTCGGCCAAAAGCATGCTGGTTGATGTTCCTAACACAAAAATCTGCATTGCCAGCTGAGTTTTTTTGGACCTTTTCACGCGGTGAGACGTCATCATCTTCTGAGCTGCTACCTGTACAAGATGCTGAAAAATGTATCTTCATTCCTCAACAAAAAAATATGTTCAATGTTCCGGATGGAAGCATTTCTAAGGGTCTGTATAATCAACTTACCAGAACTGTAAGAATCTGTTGATGAAGCAGAAAGCGAACGACTTCTATACCGACTAGATTTTTTTAATGCACTTGTTTTGGTATCCTGAAAAATTAGGATATTTTACTAGCAATTCGTTAATAAATACCAAAAACTTTTTCAATTCCAATAAAATCTATGCTACTCAGCGAAATATTCAGATCAATTCTTAGAAAACTCTAATTTCTCTTCTTGTGTCATTGTGAGGTTATCTCGGAGGTTATCTATATACAGGGTATGTCACAATGAGCTTACACTATCTTTATATCGAGAATCAGTCCGGAGAAATCCATGAAAATATGCGTGCTTATATTTTAGAATACGCTCTTGTCATTCAAAATATTTTCGACAATGCAGTGTTGCCGCTACTACTAGAAAGTAGTAGCAACATTGATATTTGGAACACCCTGTATTTTTTCGCATTTCAAGATTCTCCCTGAAGAGCTGATTTCATTGATGTATAAAACTTAGGGGTCTATCGAAAATGATTACAGAGATATAGGGTGTTCAAAATCAAGATTTTTCAACTTTTTTGTGTCAAAACTATTTATCGGTCAAAACGGCTCACATGTCCCTATCTTAACTTTTGATTCACTATTTACTAATATTTAATCGGAACAGATACAGGGTGGTTCAAGATTTAGAATTCAGATCATCCTATATCTCTGTAATCATTTCCGATAGAACCCAAGTGTGATGTATCGGTGAAATCAGCTCTTCAGGGAGAATCTAGAAAAGCAATAAAATACAGGGTATTCTATTTGAAATAACAAAGTTGCTACTTTTTGATAGAAGCGGCAACACTGCATTGCTAAAAATATTTCAAATGAAGAGAGCCTATCCTAAAATATGAGCATGCATATTTTCATGGATTTCTCCCGATAGTGTAAGCTCGTTGTGACATACCCTGTATACCTAAGTGGAAATTGGAGAGCCAGAATCGATAGACTGAATAATTAAAAATTAAACGAAAAGGATTACAGTGCTGTTTGAAGGAATATAGATGGGTTGTTTACAAAAAATATATGTACTTAATTCCTTATTATTTGGCTAGGTAGGTATTTGCATTTTGAACACCATAGAGTAGAAAAACTATACACCTAATAAGAACAGTGTACCTAAATGACTTAAGATTTGTGAATAAACATGTAGGTGACCTGGTATATTAATATTGACTTAGCAATAAAATGTAGCAAAGCCTAGTTATAAGATAAAAAGATTTATAATGCCATGAGAGGATTAAAGGATGAATGAATAATAATTATCACCTTAGTACAGTTATAATATATTGAACATATTATCTATATTGTGACCTGGATAGCATATAACTAGCAATGTATATACAGGGTGATTCAAGCAAACCAAATAGCAAAGTTTAACTAATCAATCTGAACAAGTGGTAGGTACCTTCCTACTTATGACTTATTTATTATTTCTATCTAGTTTTGTATCATCCCTATTTATTGGGATGCTCCATTAGAAAAACCACAATCAATTACCACAGCATATTACTCATCTTTTCCAAATCAGAAACATATCTGATATCATTCTGATATATAAATGTTTCAATAAGGAATAATATGATGGACAAGATGATTGAATATCAATAGTGAAACAGAAATATATTTAACAACCAAATTATTGAAGTAAAATCTAGAGGCTCTGAATAAGGATGTTATTCAGCATCTGGCTGGAAAACAATTAGAAATAGAGGAATTAATTTAGAGGTAGTGTTTATTACATACATATTGGTAACTTCTTACCTATTGATTATTGATGCTGATTTATGCAAGATTCAAATCTCAAGAACTTTTATTCAACAGAATATTTTATTGTATACCTATACTGTGACTTGAACCTAGCATAAATTCACTTTAACACTAGACCCAAAATTGAATATTAGGTTGATGGATGAAGGTTTTTGTCAAATTGAGCTAGAGTAAAATGAAAACCAAGCAAAGCTTCAGAAGAATCAGAAGACTACATGCAGGCCAATGAAGTGCAAAAAATATTATGATTGAGACCTAAAGTAGGTAAAGCATACACAAGGCATGTATATCTTACCAACTTTGATCTTTGGCAGATAAAGGCATTACTTCCATCCAATCCCTAGAAATAAATTCATTATAAATAAATAAAACATACTGCTGTCAAAAACATGACTGGAGATTGAATCAGTAAAATGAAAATATGTCATAATTTTATTAAAATTTAGCCTTTGAACTGAACCTGAAGAAGAGTGTCTACAAATATTCCTTTGATGTTGATAGTATTCTGAATCATTATTTCAATTGCACATTACAATATAAACTGCAATATTGAATATTATTATATTCAGGCTCCCATTCAGGTAATAGGAAATGAACTATTCTGTTAACATTGAGCTATCATATGTATAAAAGTGTAATAGCATAGTTTTCTTATTTTTTTCTAATTTTGTGTGTGGAAAGTAATGTCAACATAGTCAACCATGAATAAAAGTAGAACATTTACCTTGACTCCAGAGGCAGGATCAGTTACAGGGGTATCAGAAACCGTATTTATATTTCTGTTGTTGATGATGGTCCTGATTTCGATCGCTTCAGACATTTTTCAGCTTATATAAGTATTCTCAAGTAAATATAACATTCATGTCTTCATCATAAATGCAATGAATACCCAAATCTCAAATGAGCTACACATAACACTTAACACATCAGATAACAGTACTATACAATACAATATTGAATGAATACACAAGAAATTTTCTTATTTCCTCCTTTATTTATGATATTTTGACAATTTCAATTTGAGCTCAGCGAACCACAGAACCAAAGCACTGCAGATATCAGTGACAGAAGAAGTGACAGTGGCACAGCACACAGCACAAAGTAACATAGGCTTCCCTAGCTAGGCATCTTAGCGCGAGAATTGACCAGCCCCGGGGTTCATCGCGGGAAAGAGAAGGACGTATAACTCGCTCTCGCTCAGATGAACCTTTTTTCTTGAAGAAGGAGAATTTTTCTTGAGGAAGGAAAATATTGTTTCTGCATAAAAAATGAGAAAACCTAACCTATCTATTTTATGAGTATATCTGTACTTGTTTCGTTGACCTGTGTAAAACTTAATGTTTATTAACACCAAATAAAATATTCTATTCTATTCTAACCTAACCTAACCTAACCGAACCTCACCTCTGGCCTAAACCACAAACATAGAAAACCCCTAAATGAACCTATTTCCCATAGAGAATATTTTTTAGAAATCACTTGAGAACAAGAAAAAAATAAAAAAAAGATGAGCCTCGCACGGATTCGAACCCCGGCCCGCCGGCTTGGCATGCCGATGCTCTGCCTACTGAGCCAACCAGTTGCTTACGAGACGAAGTATGATGAAGTATTGTGCTTCGGCTATGTGCCAAATGCATTCTCGCGAGTGAGAGGGCATTATATGTCCTTCTCTCTCCCGCGATAAACCCCGGGGCTTGTCAATTCTCGCCATCTTAGCCACCACAGACGTTTAGATCAAGTACTTTTACACTTGTTTTACACCGCATATTACACTGAGTGACACAAGACAGAATTGACAGATACTAGACTAGATAATCCATTTTAACTCTTTCCAAAAGCTACACCACTGTCCTGAACTTGAAATGGTAGAGTAACTGTCATTGTGCATGACTGCCGCTTTTCACGAAGGACCTTTCTGTTTTGAAATTTTGTTCGATGAGCGACTTTCCTTGTTTTCTGTACGAGTTGGAAAGAAATGAGAGCATCATCGGTTAGCACTGTTAGCAGATGCAGTTGCAGTGAACTGAAATTGCCTAGCTAACCAAGTTTCGTTTCACAAATTTCACATTCTCATTCTGAAAGTTGTAAATTGACATTTCTGGTAATGGTATTGCGAAGTGTTGAAAATGTGATGTGCCCCAGTGTTTTTAGGAAGTGGAGATACTTTTAGCAGACCGACCTAATATTATGAACATTTTAGCCGATCTATCGTTTGAGGCATTATGATTTACAGGCCTCATGTCCGCAGACGAAAAATAAAATTTCGTACTGTCGGTGTTGACACTTAAAACTGGCAATCAACATTAATCTGCATACATAGGAAGATCATTATATAAACAATGTGGGTAAAAAAAAAATAGATTGTAGATGTCAAGATCAATTCACAATATTGCTTTGCCTGAAAGGTATGAGACCAGATATATGAATCACCTGGCCTGGTTATACATCATGACAATAAACTATGAAAAATAAAAGTATTTGTCTGTATGTATTCCCAAAAAGTCACGGCCTTATCTCTAGGTATAAAAACTTCCTGAAAGATTTCATGGTCGAAAAATTACTGTCATTCAGCACTGATAAAAAACCCGGTTTGTGTTTTGACTTGTGGTTTTGATACTAGCTAGATTTTTTTGAAGATTGTTTTTGTTGAAGTTCTTGTTCAGTACTCTCTCATTTGGGAATGAAGTCATTCAGCATTTTGCCATTTCTCAACCGAAATGATTCATCTCCACCAGGTACCTTATCTTTGATCCCTAAGACAGAATTGTTTTCAAGTGTCTCAGTTAAGGTTTTCCAGCATATTTCATTTTTTTCAAATGTCTTTCAGGCTTTTTATCTGTTCTTCTATGGTTATGTATAGATTCTTTGAAATAGCTTGAAAATGCCATAATCACTATATTCTCTTTGTTTAGAGCATTGATATAAACTATTTCAGTTCACAAAATTTTGATAATTTACAGCACCTAGCTAATGAAATGAAAAATGGAATAGTGAAGGTTGAGGTTTTGTGTATCCAGCTGATAGGTATTGAGCAATCTAAAATATAATGAGGCAATGTTTTTTATATAGTTGGTGCACATGGTATGAATATTTGAAATTGAGTATAGAATACTTAAGAATGACATGGTTTTCAAAATAAATGTTGTTTCAGAGGAAACAACCATTGTGGAGATGGCTCAGTTGGTCAACTCCAAGAGGAGAGGAATAACTAGTGGAGAAAATTCGTCAACATCCACAAGCTCAGCCAATCAACAAATAACAGATGAAATAGCAGCTTTATTTGAATGTCCAGTATGCTTCGAAGTTGTACTACCACCCATAATGCAATGCCAAGTGGGACACTTGGTATGTGCTAGCTGCCGTCCCAAACTGTCTTGCTGCCCCACCTGCCGTGGAACACTAGGAAACATTAGGAATTTAGCCATGGAGAAGGTTTTTATCAACTTGATTGGTTCCGTTATACCCTGACCCTCACAATAATGCACAATATATTTGAAAGGAGACAACACTGATTTTCCACTTTTCAACTGATGGTTTTTCAGGTAGCAAGTAATTTAATGTTTCCATGCAAACACAAGTCTACAGGGTGTCGCATGTCTCTAGGACTGAATGATAAGGCTGAGCATGAGGAGATTTGTGAATTTCGGCCCTATAGTTGTCCCTGCCCTGGTGCCTCCTGTTCTTGGCAGGTATGTCAGATATTTTGTTTATACCAGTAATAATCTGAAATTCATTTTTCAATTTTTTGTTGTTCTAAATTTTCCAATGCAGAAATTCATATTTTAATCAACAGGAAATGAATAATACTTCAAGAGTCAAATAATATTAACACAGGAATCTGTTGGAAATTATCTTCTCAAATATTCACAACTCAAAAAAAAGCTTACAGAATACAGTTTTTTTCGAAAAATTCTCTAGTCATAAAAATTTCGAAATAAGGACAATAGGAAAAAAATCTTGAAAATTGTCCACAAGTTGAGAAAAATTCGACCCAGGGACATATTCTTCAAAAACTCCTCCAAAGTCAAAATCTCCGGGACATAATAGGAAAATCTTCAAAAATCTTCAAGTTGAAAAACTAACAGACACAACTAGAAAAAATTGATGAACATAATATGGTAAAACAATTTTTTTAAATCAATTAAAAGTCCAATGTCCAAGTCCATGTCAAGAAAACAATTGATGTTGAAATTAGAAGATAAATGAGGAAACATAATGAAGGAACGTTTTTTTTTTTTTAATTTTTTCGGTCAAAAAATTCAACTAAGGAACAGACTTTTTTCTCGTTATCCTTCACAATTCAAAAAAATTCAACTATTGCGTGTGTCAATGAAGTTTTAGCAAAACCACCATACACTCCCTCCTCCCTCCTTTGAAAATTGTCCTTAGTTGGCGCCCAACGTGGGGCAAGAATCTACAGTAACAAATATATCAACCTATAATAAATACCACAAGCACCCTAGATACTATCCAATTTACTTGAGCAGGTTATGATTCTCTTATGCAAGAATAACCCAAAACCAGGAATTCTGGGTCACCTGAAAGCTTTTATCATTTCCGTTTCCAAGGGTCAACTAGATAAAGTAATGGTACACCTTCAACATGCTCACAAGAATATCACAACTCTGAATGGTGAGGACATCGTGTTCTTAGCTACAGAGATAAATCTTGCTGGTGCTGTAGACTGGGTGATGATGCAGAGCTGTTTTGGACACCATTTCATGCTCGTATTAGAGAAGCAAGAAAAAAGCGACGGACATACACAATTTTTCGCTATCGTTCAGTTAATCGGATCTCGTAAACAAGCCGAACATTTTGCATACAGGTAAAATAAAAACCACTTTCTCAGAGCCATTTGAGATTATTTTGATCGTTTGTTTTTGTAAGGTTGGAATTGAATGGAAACAGAAGGCGCCTAATCTGGGAAGCTATGCCAAGATCAAGCCATGAAGGGGTAGCATCAGCTATTATGGGCAGTGATTGCCTAGTATTTGACAACTCCATAGCCCAACATTTTGCTGATAATGGCAATCTAGGCATAAATGTTACCATTTCGCTAGTATGCTGAAAAGTATGAGTTTGTATTTCCTCGTGAACGTGAAAGAAGTTAAAATGAGACTTGGGTACATTTTTTATGCTTATTATGTAAATAGATAGGGTTTGAATATTAAACTGATCATATTTATCTAATTATCATTAGTTTTGAATGAGTATTTGAATTTGCGGGTGCCTATGTACATTGTTGTTATGATTTTTTGTAGATATAAAACGCCTCTTTGTAGTCCATACCTTAAAGGAAATATTGATGAACAAACAATGAAATTGAACTTCTTAGAAGGAGCTATAATGGGTAGTCACTTTTGGAATAAATCCTTTGGTAGCATCTCCTGAACTCAGAATCAGAGTTGTGTGATGTACAAACAAAAGTTACATCATGATCTTTGACGTGATAATTTGTCATGTTCCTAAAATATTGTGAAAAATCTAATATCAGTTCATATGTCTTGATGGCTCAGTATATGAAATAGGGAAAATAATACAATTTTCACCCACTTAATTCAATATTTGAGTTTGGGAAATTCCAATGGGTACATTGTGAAAGTGACCAACCTGTATAAATGCTGCATTACATAATCAAGTTGGCCCCACCATGATTTTTTGTAATATGTTTGAGATTACAAAAACGACAACAGAATATTTTGTGGTTTGCATAAGTAGAAATGGACTATTATTGCTTATTTTGATCTGTTCTGGTATATAGTTTATGTTTATTGTGACTGATGTTGTATTATAGGTAATTGTCTTATTTATAGATGTGCTTTTGAGTAACACTGTCTCATTTTTACTTTATTTTACTTTCATGATGCCAGAGTTTAGTTAGTGTAAACGAAATAAACTACATGCATTCATCTTATTTATATTTATCTGTTATATTTTGGTTTTATAATCACTATTATTTTCCTACACAATCACTAAATGATAATACTAGGAAGAGAAATCCTTTCCATGTATGTACTATTTTTCAATAATTGTATCCAAATGCAAACATTATTAAATTTAACTAAAGATATGTTCCAACTGGGACTATTTCTAAATGGATATTGAATAACATGTTGATACCTCACAGCTGACAAATTGATTGTTGGTAAATGCATCAAAATCGATAAAATCGACCCGACCTCAAAACATGTTCGCTTTTCAATAGGTACCATGTGTCTATTATATTTTGATGGAATTATTATAAAAAAACTAAGAAGGGGGTGTGTTTCAATCACCCTATCGATAATTTAATGCGTTGATTCAAATAATTTGAGAGAAAAAGTAACAAATAATTACCAGTTCTTCCCCTACTCATCAAAAAAAATTATTGGAATTAACCAATTTGAATTGTAATATTGCTATCAGCTACATGCTGCCATCATATTGTAATTTCAGAAAATTCGCCTCTGAAAATGAGAATTTCTACAAAGTTTTCATTGAAATTGTGTGATATGTGGATGAAATTCATGCCAAGAAGCATGGATCTTAATTTAATATTACTGCACGTCTTGCTTTCGACCTTTGACCTGGTCTGCTTAGTGAAAGCATTTTTAACTTCTACTAAGTATTTGTTTTCTGTTTTGTTTTCAGCTCAAGTTGTTTAATGTTCATTTTTTCATACTTCCTACGATCAATTCATTTGTAGTTTATCCCATTAGACATTAACTAACAATTGTGATATAAAAGTACAGTAATCATAAAGTTTTTATATTTTCATGATGGACATTGGGGAATTTTAAATCTAATTCCACTTTAATTCTTGATACCATTGAAAGTTATTTGTCTGGAGGACTAAGTGTATTGGATAAAAATCGTATCAATATAAGATAGCCTTTGTTCAGCATTTTTTTGTAATCATAGTTTTTTTTTTATCATTATGATAGTATATTCTTGTTCAACTAGCTTTATAAGTACAAGTGTAAACAGTAATTTGCAATAAAATACTGACTTGAACTTGAATTTCATTGATGCAGCTGGACAATTAATGGCAACACTTTTCAATGATCATCGGAATATTGAGAAATGTTTCGCTATTTATTATTATCTCTGTTATTATAAAGCCCATACATTCGAGGGAAATGAAGAATGTTCAGATGCACGAATGGTAACACCAAAAATCTAGTTTTGACTTCTCAATGAAGTGGAAATAATGTTGAAAATTATTTAAATCCACCTTTGATAGAGCATTCATCATATCTTACTGGAGTCACACTGGAGTACTTACTGCAATACTACTTTGAACTCATAGCATTAGAAATAGAAACATGAAGAAATTATAGTAGGTATACCTAGTTATCCAAAGTCCAGGCATTTCAAAAGGAACTTCAAAAAACTATTTTCTCAACAGAAAAAGTGAAAAACTAAACCTAGAAAAAAGTTATGGCCATTCTTAACTAAAAGAAGTGCATTGGTAAGCGCCCTCTATTGGCCACAGTGAAAAGATTTCCTTATTCACGTTTCGCATCCCAAAAAGCCCCTGGCTACCAATTTTTGAAGTGATACGTTCAAAATGTTCCTACATTTTGAGAAATTCGGATTTTATTTTTTAACTTTACCACCATGTAACTCGGAAATGGAGCAATTTCTGACTGAGTTGCTTTAAATCGGCTTATTTTGACCTCAGGAATATATGCTGAGATTTTGTTCAGATCTTTTAGGGACACCCTGTATAGCAACAATATGTATATATGCATATTGATTCATTTTTCGAGTCATGGGTACAATAATAATATCACAGATTTCCTTAATATGATTAAATTAATATCATGGAACATCTTTATTTCAAGATAAATGCATTTTTCCATTATTTCACTGAAACAAATGAATGAAGAAAAAAATGAATCAACATGAAATTTCGTCTTTTGTTTTAGTCAATTGAGTGTCTTTTCGTGTGCATGAGTTGTATGTGGTAACAGGCTTTTGCAGACAATATTTTTTTTTCGGTTTTTATTTGTATCTAATGCCTGTTCATCAGTTGATCCTTCATCCAGAGTGAAAGCGGAATTCCCGCCGCAAGCTTGTTGAATTAGTCTAACGCCGGATTTGAAGAAGAGCCAGATCCAAAACTGCAAGACTAGCAAGACGAGTTAGACGAGTGTAGTTCATTGTTTATGGCAAGACGCCATTATTGTGTATGCATGTGAGTAGATTTAAACATCCTTTTCCCCGTTCGCCTATTTTCTGTTGGCCATATATCTATTATTCTAACAGTCAAATAATGAATTCAACATTCAAATAATCAGTTGAATCAGTGCATTATTTTCGAATTTGAATAAACAGGTCATGAAATTATTGGGGTGAACCCAGCGCGTCTTCATTATCGATCAGTTAGGGATCTGTAATGTGAAAAGGGAACACAGTGTTTTCACATTGTTCAATCGAAAATCGGAAGATGGCGACATCGTGGTATCAATCATAGATTGAACATGGTCTGGTTTATTTTATAACAATAATTCAATAAATATCATATTCAAGGATAGGAATATTAAAAGGAGGTGGGTGTATATGCTTTGTACCGAGATTAAAACTGGATTTTCGTGCAAAATATGAAACACAATAAACACAAACTTTTATTTTATATTGTATAGCGGTTGACTACATTTTTTCAACACAGGTAAGTATTACAGAGGAGCAGCGTTTATGGAAGCACATAGCATGCTTTTTAACCTGACATCACACATATTATATTGTCGATTGCCTCAACTAGATTTCATTCAGCTGCAAAAAGCCAAGGAACACATGGAAGTGAACAGTTTTCACTAGTCTAAAACAATTTCTTTTTTGTCAGAAAACTCAGTAATGCCAATATTATGCATGTAAGTGTAGGTATGTATGTACCTATATTGTATACGGTATTAATACAGACAGAACATGCATCTATACCTTTTCTAATGAAACTTTGGTCGCTGATTGATACATTACGCTTACGCGTAAGGTAAGCGTAATATATCAATCAACGCTTTGGTCATATTAGAGAACGTTTTCATCTCAGTCTATCCAAAAAATCCTCATTCAGGTGTACTAATCTTATTATGAATATGGGGATTGTGGACATTTTATTTCTAAATTGGCTATTGAGGCACTAAACAGGACATGTGGACCAGTGGATTTTTTTATTGATTTTTCATTGCATAGGCATGGTCAAGCCTAATCGGCCTAAGATGGCCTAACGAAACTTCAACTTTCTTGTGACAAAAAATATTTGTTGTTGCAAGGAACATGAAACGATAGGTATGGTAAGTGCGCATACAATTTTAGGAATACGAAGTGGAAAAATCATGCTTTATATAAAACGTTATCAATATGACCAGGTTGACTGACACTGGAAAGAAAATTGGTATGTCTATACCTGATTGTTAATTTCTTTTTCCTTTCCACGTCAAACTAAGACAATAATAAGTATATGAGATATTGACACTTATGTGTGATACATATATGCGTTTTGCGAAATTATACATCGGCAACATTCAACATGATCATGATAATTTTGTTGTAAATCGTGAAATCAATTTGTATGAAAATAGCATTTGTCAAAAAATATTATTGAATTCAAGCCCACATGAGAAATTGTTTTTTTTTTAATACCTACTTATAGGTGTATAATATGATATAATATAACTTAATGGTATATAATATATTGTCTAGATATTGTCAGATATGTCATATCACTCTTACTAATTATCTATAATTTTGCTATTATCTGTATTCCATGTGAGCCCTACAACTTTAACTAGAAAGGCTATCCTTAATTTCATTCGAATAGACATGTTTCCATCAACTATAATAGTATATCACCTATATGCAGTTTCGAAATACTTTGAAAATTCCATATTTGGTCTGAAAAATACAAAACTATTGACCGATAAAAAATCATTCTGCCATATTTTTTGATTGATGGTAGAGGTAGTCGCCATATAAGTAGAAGTATACAACGTCCTAATGAAAAACAAAACGGTGGGGCAGATGAATGTTGGTTTACATTTTTTCACATATCAGTCGGACTAACACACTCATTTATTTGTCTTTGGAATCCTATAGATTGATTGAGATAAACATTTTTTGGTTTTCATTTCTGTTTCATAATTTTTATGTCTGAATGAAGGCTAAATATCTATCTTGAAAGTTTCACTGATCATTTGGTATACAATTACCGAATATGAAAATTGAGATATTTTGACAAAACCTCTTCTTCGTATTATTGTCCGACGATAGGCTATATCGATACTGGAAATATTTGATAGAAACATTTTACTTTTTGGCAACAGCTGATATAAGAATCATCTATATGTAAAAAATAAATAAATTTAGAAACAGGTAAAAATATTTTAAATGTGATTGCCCACACGATTCAGTTATAAGTAACATAGCACAGTCATTGAAAGAATTTACTAATACTATCTTGAAGGTCGATTCTATAGTGTGTCTCTCCTCAAACCAACCAAACTGAGTCACACACTATTTTCGATTTTGAAGTACATTGGTCATTCGTGTTAATAGCCTTGCCGATTCATTCGATTATCAATAATGAGTGACCCACTAAAAAAGCTGGATACCCCCCCTCTAAAATTTGTATTTATACTCATTGTCCGATTCTTTCTTTAATTGAAGATGGAAAATTGTGTTCTACAACTTTTTACACAAAAAAACGAGTTCTCCTGCATTATTTTAAGGAGTTAATATTACAGAAAAATATATTAGAGATTATTTCATGAGACATTTGATATGTAAGTATATTCTTATGGCTAAATGAGAAACATTCTTACTCATATAATATACATTTTTTGAGGTAATTCACGGAATGGGATAGAGATAGAGTTTTGAGAGAATCTGAATTCTGATTTATCCATGTTTAATCGTGTGTGATGGTTCGGAAAAAATCAACATTCAGCATTCGCAAAAAATTCTGTGATATGATTTATTATGGAAATTCCACCAGCAAAATTCAGGTTATCTATCACTTTATCCTGGAGTAGGTGTATAGTTCAATTTTACTCTTCAATACATTTTGTCAAATCCGGATGATGAATACAAATTTTATGGAAATACAATGAAAATATCTGCAGGATCTTGAAACGATCGATACCTACCTAGCCAATTCAATGTATAAAAGGTGACAATTGGTGACAAAAATGAAAAAAAATTACAGTTTTGTCACACTCAAATGACTTTGAAGCCATTATGGCAAATTCAACTTCTGTCAAAC